GAGGTGAATGCAGAGGGTTACAAGCTGGGAAAGTGAAAAGGCCCAGAAGGAATTATTGAGTTGCTTGTGAGAAATACTGCTTGCCTTTATTAAGAAAAAACTATGTAAAAAATTCAGTTAAGCCCTATCTGGCTGTCACTATAAGCACCCCCAAATCTTTCCACTTCCCAGTACATACACAACCCTCTCCTTTCAACTACAGGAGGGTCTGGAAGGTGTGGAGTTTTAGGGGAGATGGGTAGGGGAGATGGGTAAGACAGATGAGCAAGGAGACTGAGCAGTGACAGAAACAGCCCCTATGCAAAAGCCTTCCCAACCCTTACAGAATATAGCCTAGAACTCACACCATCTAATCCCCAGCCCAGCAAAGCTGGCTCTTGTTCCAATCCATGTACATTTTCTTCACCCACAAAACCCTCTCAAAGACTCAGTTCAGGCCGGGGAGACTGTGACCCATAGGACTCTGGGAAGGAACTAGAAGGCTGGTGACGTGGAACCAGGACGGTCCTAAAACTACGAGTGGGTAGGATGTGGCAGGGTATAAAGTGAGCAGTCCTTCCTCCTTGAGCCTAATTCAGGCCAGTCCTGTTCATCCTGGCTGGGAGTGTCTGCCCCTGAAGTCAAACCAGTCAGTCAAGCCACCAGCCAAGCTGCCACCCACACCTTCCTGCTCTGCTGGGGATGGGACAGGGTCCAGGAAGTTCTGCCCTGAGGGGTGGGGTAGCACCTACGGATTTTTCACTGCTTCTCAGGAATGCAGCCCCTCATTTTTTCTCTCTCCTTGGGGTAGGGTCTCTTTAGTTCTTGATATTCTGGAAGTGAGGGACAAGATTGCTTCCCCCCAGACTCAAAACCAATCCTGATCCAGAGCAATGACCCCTAAGTTTTGCACCTCAGTGACCCTGCTGGTACCCTGTCCTTGTGTATCCAACCTACTCTTCCATCCCTCGCCTCCTCTTGCCTCCAACGCCCACCTGCTTTCAAGTATTCTGGCCTGAGTCTTCTGCTCCAGTAGGCAGTGGCAGGGCAGAAAGTCAGGGCCAAGAAGAGACAGAGTCAAGACCTTAAAAGACTTAAGTCCCCAGACACAAGCTCTAAGCATAAGGGTACACAGAACCTGGAAAGCTGGGCTGGAGTGGACCTTTCAGAGCAGGCCTGGGTCAGGGCATGTCACAGAAATCTCAGGCTCCATCTGACTGAGGCTTGCCCCAGAGTCATCCTGGACTTGTCCAAGCAGGAGGGCCTCAGGGAAATACCTGGGTATATCAGGTTGTACAAAGTGAGACCACAGACAGGAGGCAGAGATGAGCAAAGCAGAAGGGTGGCCAAAGGAGATGGGAACTGAGTGTTCTGCCCAGGAACACTGGTGGCCACAAGGGCAAACCAGCTTCAAGAGGACCACTTCCATTCCCCTCCACTTTCCCAAGGTCATGCTACGATCCACTTTCATCTCAGAGAAGGAAGTGTTCCAAAGAGAGGAGTCTACTCAGTTTGGATCCTTAGCAAGCAAGGAGTCAGTTAAAATAGGGACTTGGGAGGCCCCTGTCCAAACCTAGCTGGGAGTTCTAGTGGAGGTTGCATACCACTTGCGGTTACCCCCATTCCTTACAGAGGTTAACAGAAAAAGGGAGTGATGCCCTGCAGCAGTCTAGGCTAGTGGGGGGATGGGCCAAAAAGTATGGGCAGCTGGGAATCCCATTGAGTCCCTCCCTTCCAAAGACAACACTAGGCCCAAGCCTGCTTCCCTCTCAAATGCAACAGGAACATTTGGCTGTGGTGGGCAAGGTGGAGCCAACTACAGTCCACTTACCCTTTTTCTACTCTGTCAAGTTCCCCAGTTCCTTAGTTCACTGCAGAGGTGAGGCTGCTGTGCTTGTGGAGGAAAGCCGAGAGGACAGAGAAGAGAGAGGCAGAAGTGGGCCTTCAGGCGCTCTGCACCAAGGATGCATCTGAATGAGTGCCCACAAAAACTTCTGTGCAGTTGCTCTGAGACCCTGAGACCCTATACAGCCACCTCTCCCAGGTGGCCCTTGTGTTTAGGGACTTCTAGACTCTCCTGAAGACTATTTTAGCTTGTAAAGAGAGAATACAGGTGTGAATCCCGAGAAATCACCCTGCTCATCCTGTATCTGATAGTGTCAGTCACCCCTTCACTCCCCTGGACATGGAATAAGAATCTTCCTATGGTCCCCTGCCCCAGTCCTTCTGCACTCACCCCTTCCTGTGATCTAGCTACAGCTATTTGTAGGCCCTGATCCAACCCAGCTGTGATAGGAAGGCTGGGAGAGGGAGACAAGGACAAACCATCTGTTGTCATCTACACCAACTTATCCCTAGCTCTGGGGTGAGTGAGATGCCACACTGAGGGCAGATGCCGGCTTTCTGTGGACAAATTGGGAAGCTCCAAGGTCCCCTGCTACCTAGGCCTCTCAATGCCTCAGGCTCATGGGGGTAAGATGTCAAAAGGCTATTCTGGCTCTGGAACCCTTGGATGTCCCCTGGGACATGGGCATGGACAGCCCTTCCAGCACTCATTGCATCCTTAAATGAGTGGTTTGTGGTGTTAGCTAGGCACAGCAGAGGTGACACTGAGTTTCATGTTCTTCTGGGAGATGTCATAGTCAGGGAACACTGGGGGATTCCCAATGGCACCAGCAAAATCTCTTCCTGCTTCTGCATTTCTCAGAGTACCTAGGACAGAGCCAGCATGGGCAGGAATCTGACACAAAGTGCTGATTAACTTGGATAAGACTAGCACCTTTGGAAAGTTCTTTGTGCTTTACTGTACTTCAAAAACTTTTACCTAGAAACAAGACTCTATTTCTCCAACCTGGAGGCGCTGGGTAAGTCCTAGCTCACAATACACTAAATATAACATGTCCCTGGTTCTTAGCTTCCAGGACCTGCCAACTCTTACTTATCATTCATTTACCTGGTATTCTCATAAAGAGCTTTCTTTGCCTAGAGCAGGTTCATGACAGATAGGTCAGAAGCAAAGAGGACAGACAGTTCTGCCCAGGCCTGGTTATATTTTGTTCCCATTTACAGCACATAATCGACTCTTTTAGGTCTTAGTACACCGACTCTTCAAATCATTTGTCGGACGGCAAGTGCCCTTCCCCACTCCCCAAAGAGACTGTGCCAAGGTTGCGGGAAGATAAACAACACAAAACGCTTTTAAGAGCTTTTTCACTTCATCTGAGCCCCTCTTGGCAGCTGAATAAATTCCTGCCCAGCAGGGGAATGAAGGAGAGACTTGAAACTGAACTTTCTACCATGGCTATCCTTGAAACCTCAAGTGGAGGGGAAAGAAGGCAGCAAGAGGAAACCCATCCAGGTATCTCCTACTGAGCTGGACTCAGCAGGAGACATGGAAAGCAACCCTGCCTCTCTCTTCTCTGAACCTAAGCTCTGGAACCAATACTGTTACTATTAAGCAATACTGCCCTGACCACCTCTCTGGGGCTACGAGGCTTCCTGGAAGCTTCTGGAGAAAGGAATGAATGAGACCACAAAGAAACCAGGGACATGATCCAAAGGGAAATGGTATTCTAGGAAGCAGCAGCTGCTTCTGACAGAGTGGTGAAGAGGAAGTTCCAAGAGTCATGGTTCCCCAGGATGCAAAGATAGCTACCGGTTCCCAGCAGAAGCCATCCGACTTAGGTCCTACCTGCACAATGTCCAACACCATGCCAGCAGCGACAGTCCCGAAGCCTGCCAAGAGGAAGGGGAACAGCACTTGCAGCCCGATGGAAAAGGAGGTCTCTTTGAGCGGGGAGGGTGGTGCAGGGCCATGGTCCGTGCTGACGTCGTCACTTTCGTTGCTCTGGCTCCCATTCTCAAGCAGGGCGTCCTCTTCCCGAACCCCCTTGGCATTGGCCCGAGACTCAATCACCACCACCTCCACTCCAGCCCCATCAGGCCCCAGGAACTCTGAGGTCCCAGCCAAGGGCTCTCGCCCAGGGCCATCTGAAGAGCTGGGAGAGGGAGTAGGGCCAGTCCCGTTCAGCTGGTGGACGTCCTTTGGCTCCGGCTTAGAGGACATGACGGGCAGGGAAGAGGGGAGGGGAGAACTTTCTTTTCCCCTCCTTGCTTTCTCTCTCCCTCTCTAACTCAGGAAATAACTTAATCTTGGGGTGAACCCAGGCTTGGGTGCCGCAGGACGTCTTCCCACGGCCCTCTGCTCCTACCGGGCACTGAAAAAACTGATCGACCAACAGGCAGCCCCATCAAGCACTGCAGCCGTGAGCTGGGGGGAAAGAGCAACTCCTCACCAGACGCAGTGGCCAGCCACTAGGGGTGCAGATGCCTGCCTCCAGCCGCCCCAGCACTGTGCCTGAGGGAAATCTTTGGTTCTCAGCGGCAGGCTCCTCAGATGGGGGGGCGGGACGGAGGGACGTCCAGATAAGAAGGGTTCAACCCAAGTCTGGAGTGCCCCCTGAGGTGGCCCCTCTCTTGTGAGAAGTAGACTGAATTCAGATTGTTGAGAACACAACCTGGACCATTGGCTGGAGCTTCTTCCCACTCCTCCTGCTCGGCTCCTTCAGCTTCCCACAGCACCCCAGGTTCAGCTGGTCCCAGGGCAGTGTCTTCTGTTTTTTTCCTCTCTTCCAGAGATTTCCTCCCTGCCTGGGAAGGCCTTGTTCCTCCCCAGTTGCCTGGTCCTTAAAATCACGAGAATCTGTGTGGAGCACTTTATGTGGGAGGAAGAAAAGAAAGAGAAGGGAAGAAGAGAGGAGAGGAAAGTTACCATATAGAAAAGAACAGCTCCTATTGGGAGAATCCTCCTCCAAGACAGTCGGTTACAGAGTTTGCCTCCCTCTTTCCACTAAAATTACTCCATCCTGCACTGCTACCTCTGGAGGCCCAGCAGGCTCCATTGCTATCATCCTCCCAACCAGCAACCCACTGCCTCACGGGAAGATGCTGCACCAGAGACCTTGGCATTGTCCTCACAGTGACCTGGGGTGGGCAGGGATATTCTCAGAGATCCCTTCTTGAATCCCATTAAAAAGAAAGGATTATTTAAGTGGGGTAAGTTAAAAATTCAGTTGCAAACTCCCCATACAGCCACGCACTGTAGAAGATGACTGTTTTATTCTCACCAGACAGTAACAGCACAACAGCTGTATGGTGCCAATAAACAGGGAGACTCCGATCACTGAATGAATGAAGGCCCCCAAATTCTCAATTGCCCTAGCCTCTGAGAAAAAAATAAATAAAAATAAAAAACCTAGGAGGCCTCCCCCAGCAGTGGGGCAAGACTGCCAAACCATGGCCAAGAGCCAGAGGCCTACCCACTCCCGCCCTTGAGAGTCAGTAGTGTTACAAAAGCTCAGAGGCTGATTTGGGTCCAGGCTTCTATCTCTACTTCTGTCCCCCTGTAAGCTTGTCAGATAGGACAAGGCAGTTATCTTCCTTCAAAGGGACAGAGTGTAAAACTGTTATTACCCACACAATTCAGTAACCCAGGCTCCCTTGTTCCGCAGGGTTACAGATATGGTGGAATTCTTCAAAACAAAAAAATCCGAAACAATAGTATCAATTAAAAAAAAAGGAAAGAAAGAAAGAAAGAAAGAAAAGAAAAACACAGCAAGACAAACCCAAGCACCATAAGCTAATATGCACTCGTTCCCAAATGTTTCTTTGGCTGTCCTGGCCTCACTTTTCTTTCCCTAAAGGAATCCCCAGGCCTTGATTCTACCCTACTTCATTTCATCAGAATGGCTCTCAACAAAGAAAAAATAAATTTAGAGGGCTTCCCGCAGGTGGGATGAACAGGCTGTTAAGTATTCTGAACACTTACAATTAGTCAACTCCAGTTTGGGAAAGGCTGAATCAAAACCCAAGAACTGGCCCAAGGGAACTGTACCCTCTTCCTACCAACCTAGTCATCCGCCAGAACCCTTGAAGCAGGACTGTGGTTCTTTCAAATATCCTCACTGGAGAGCCAGGACGAAACCTCTGAGTCTACTGCCCCTCTGCCAGCAAAGTTTCCGAGTCCGCTAAAACCTGACACCCCCGTCCCTCCTTGTCTTCCTGGCAGGCCACTTACCTGAAAGGGGGCTCGCAGGGAGGAAGCAAGTTCCCATCCACATCCCCAGTAAAGAGACATCGGATGGGCCTCAGACCCTGGGACGCCCTCCTCCCAGGCAGGGACAAAAAACGACCAGTTTTAGTATCCCCAGCCCCAGGGAGGGGGAGAAGTAACTGGGTGGCCTCCGCTGTCTCTCCACGATTCAGACTCAGCAAATGCGCTGCGCGCCAGTTGCTCCCGCCCTCCGCCACCCACCCCCAACCCCCCACCCTCAACAGCACTGACCTGACCCTCGCTTGGGAGGAAGGGGGGCGCCTGGCGAGTGGCAGCAGGGGCCCGTGGTCTCGGGAGGTGCAGGGTACCCCCTCTTCTCATCACTCCTCCTCCGCGGCAGTCCTCCTCTGCCCCCGTATATCCCCCCACACCCCCAAGCAAGGCGAGCGTCCAGCCGCGACACCCGGCTCGCTACATTTCGCTTCTACGTTACAACGAGGCCGCCGCTCCGCTTCCACGAGGGGAGGTGGCCCGGGAGGACAGGATATACCGCCTCGGGCAGGCGAGGAGGGGGCGGGGGAGGACCCGGACGGGGACCGGGGTGCCGAGCTCACTCGTCCACAATCGTTTCTTGCCCGCGGACTTGGGCCCGACTGGTTGGCTGCCGGTGGCAAACGTGATCTGGGGCAGACTGGATGGCAACCCCCCTCAAATCAAAAATAGATTCTGAATGGACAAGTGCAGCAGCCAATCGGAGGCTGGAGAGGGGGCGGGTCCAGCCTCGCTCGGCCCCTTTCCTTCGCTTCGTGCGCTGGAGGCGGGGCGCCGGGGAAACGCAGTGCGAGGAGTGACGGGAGCTGGGAGCCGGCTCGGTGCCGCGGGCTCGCGGGTCCCGGCGCCCCTCGGCCGGTGGCTCCGGGCTCCCGCTGTTCTGCTGTCACTGCGCAGTGCCGCTGCCCTAGCGCTCGCGCCACTGCGCCTCTGCGCGTGTACCTTGCATCTTGAGTATGTCTTTTGAGCTTGTGGCCTTCCAGAAGATCGGCAAACATCCCGGTGGAGCGACCAGCCAGCTCTGATCCCTTTGGCACCCCGCCCTCAGTACCCGGACCCAACCATCCCTACCTTGTTCTTGAACACAGCTCCTCTCTGGCTGCCTCGTTACCTTGTGCTTCCTCCAAGACCCGTGTTCCTCTAAGCAAATGGCTTAGGCCTGACAGATCAGGCCTTAATAAAGTCCCATCCTTGAAAGGGGGGCGGGGGGAGGAGAATGGGCTGACTGGAGGGAAAAGTGGTCACACTCATGGCTGGGGTCCCACATGCATCACCTGAGGTAAGGGCGGAGGGAGCCTGGCTTCCTTTGACCCACTGAGCCTTGTGGCCACATGGGAGATGTCTCCATCCCAGGCGAAATGAAATCCAACTTTCCCTGACGCACCTTGTGGGATCAAAGAGGGGTGTTCCCATGCTCACCTTTTGCCACTTCCTCCCTGGGGTATCTCCACCTCTCCAGCGCAAACTCAGTACCAGTTCTCTCTGGGATGTTTTTGTGCAGGGGATATGACCTCCCCCATAAAAGAACCCCCACTCCCAGGTTTTCCCCTCTTGTCAGTGGAACCTGTGACCAGTGGTTCCTTCCTGCTCTCTTCCTCCCGGAAAGTGGTGCAGGGGGCATTGGAGCATGGCTCCAGACCCCCTGAGTGGGTTTTGGAGCACAGATGTGTGCCTGGGACGAGGATTCAGTGCCAGCTATTTAGCTTTGGGCACACGTGCACACACAGGAACACACACTGCAACCTGAACAGATCATTCCTTTGGATGATGAAAACATACCCATTAGCCCACCATGACCTTCCACTCCAGTTACCCCTAGGATTGTTCCAGATCAGCTGCTAGGGCCTCTGCATCAGGGCCTGCAGTCTCATGGGACCTAGCAAAGAAAATGTCAGTATCTGACAGAAGTAGTTCCTACACTGAGGAACACTAGATCTCCTTCAGGAAGGATCAGGTTTGTGAATAGGGGATGTAGGGGTGGGTGGGGAATTAAACTGATGTATCTGGAGACACTTCAATCAGGGGCTGAGGACAACTTCTGCCCTACTTCACTCAACAGCCCCTCCCCCCTTTAATCTTGCCTCAGCTTAGCTATCTATGTCTAAGATTTTGATCTCTCCTTTTCCCTACCATTTTCCTTTTTTTTTTTTTACCCACTTGAAAGCACCCACGTGTTTCCCTTTTCTATGGGTACTTTTTCCACCCTCAGTTGAAGTACACCAGACATAGGCAAAAGTGATTGAAACCTAAGAGCTCTGTTCAACAAATCCTAAGATGGTGAACAAGCCCATAGAGCTACCACCCAGATCAAGAATTAGATCATTCCCAGCAATCCACCTTCCTATCCCCATCCTGGTCACTACTTGACCTGCCTTACCAAGGGTAACCTCTGTCTAATACTATAGATTATTAGTTCCCCTGCTTGCCTTTGAACTTCATATACATGGAAGCATTTGGTAGGTATTATTTTATGTCTAGCTTCTCTCACTCAATATTGTGTTTGTAAGACTAATCTGTAACATGTGGTAGCAGTAGTTCATTCATTTTTACTGCAGTGAATATACCATTTAAGTGAGTATATGACAATTCATCTGTTATTCTGTTGATGAATATTTGGGTTGTTCCTAGTTTGGTGTTATTATGTGAGGCTGCCGTGACATTTTTGTTCATGTTTTCTGGTGCACTTGTGCTCATACTTCTATTGGAAATATACATAGGAACAGAATGACTTGGTCATAGTATAGGCAAGTGTTTACCTTTAGTAAATGCTACTAAATGCTTTCTAATGTGCTTGGATTAATTTACACTCTAGCCAGCAACGTCTGGAGTTCCAGTTGACACTTGCTACTGTCCCTCTAAAAAGCCACTCTGATGGTTGTGTAGTGGTATTTGATCGTGGTTTAAGTTTGCATTGCCCTGACAACCAATGAGGTTGAACACTTCATACATTTACTTGCCATTTGGATATTTGTTCAAGTATTATGTAAGTTTTCTACTAAGCTTTCTATCTTATTGCCTTGGAAGAATTCTTCATATATTTCAGATATGAGTCTTTTGTTGGTTATAGGTATTGTGAATATTTCTTTAAGTACAGAAGATCTTATTTTGGGAGTTTTCTGAGATGTCAGAGCCTTTGGGACAAGACAATAATCACTACCATATCCTGGCTCCTGACACATAGTAGGTGCTCAATACATATGTTGGATGAATGATGGATTGATGGATGAGACTGAGCTAGGTAGTGTACCCTTTGTTGTGCGGATGCCTAGAGTCAAACACCAGGAGGCCTGGGGAAACACATTTCCTTCCAGCCCAGCCAGCTGTAACATTGGGAAGAGGAAGACATCCCAGCCTTTCTCTACTGAAAGAGCAGAAATAGCTACAGTCTATGAAGGGAGAAGCACAGATGTATGGAGCAGAGGTCACAGATGAAAACACAGGAACTAGCAGCAGGTAGTAAGCCAGCCATATACTTCAGAAGGAAAGACACAGTTGGGGGTCTCAAGAAGACAGTGAGGGTCTCTGAGCATTATGGACATTTATATGACAAGAATCTCCAAAGATCACATGGGCCCTCCTCAACTCAAGACTGGTCCACTCTCAATGTTTGTTAGCTGAGAGTTCTCCCTCACTTAGAAACACATTTCTGTCTCCAAAGGAAGTCACTGGCACTTATTCCCATCTTTCTTTTGTTTTTAGATCTACTCTTTACTTTCACATAGCCTATAATGTTCATCTTGAACAGGGAAAGCCAACAGGCCTATTGCATTCTATAGCACTATTTGCTTACCGCCTTTCTCTCCAGTACTTCCCCCTCCTTTTCCTCTTCCTCCTTCAGCTGTAGTGCTGAGACCAGGTCTGGTCGGGAGACTGACTGATGCCCACTACTATGAGGACAGAGATTGCTCCCTTGCAATACCCTAACAAACTCAAGGTGTGTCCTCTTCCCAGGGGGCAATGTGGCGTTTACCCAGAGGCTCCAGAAATTTCTAAACAAGATGAGCTTAGGACAGTGGTCTAGTTGGAGAGAAATGGCATTGTATAGAAAGCACAGAGTTTGCTATACAAGAATATGTCTGGGGGGTGGGTGGCGAGGAAAATTGTTGATCACTGCCAGGGGCCTTTGAGGACCCTGTAAGGGGAAGGCCTCTGGAGGGCAGCCTTCATTTTAGTCTTGCTTGGCACTTATCCTACCTAATATATGGTTCATTTATCCTCTATCCTGAGGAAGCTTCCATGGCCTTCCTTTAGGGACAGCTGTTGTCCATCAAGGGCTTCTCCAGGAGCTACCTGTATACTCATCCTGAAGCATCATAAAATTCCAGAGCCCCATAGATCGTAGACCCCTTAACCAGCATGGATGGCATAGTCACAAGACTAGCCTGACATGGCTGGAAACTTTTCTGTCTTTTGTTTTGCTGGGGGGAGGGTGCCCCCTCCCATTTTTCCCCTTGCTCTAACCCCTCCCTTGCTATCTCCCTCCCAGAGGTCAACTTCTTTCCTGCTGCCCAGAGCTGAGGTGATATCCCCTTCCGGTTTCATTCAGCGCTAGGAGGATGTCGTGATGGGAGCGGGATGGGGAAGTGTGGCCATCTGTGGTCGGGGCTAGTTGCTGTCACCGTCCTCATCTTTAACTGAGCTCCTCTTTCTCAAAGTCCATGATGAGCAGATACTCATGCTAGGATTCCTGTAGGCAGGATGGTTCCAGGTGTTTTGGAGCTGCAGTTCTGAAATTACTGAGTATAGTTGGGAAGCCTTAGCAGCAGGCAAAATAGTCCAGTGATCTGAACTAGTAGATAAGCGATCTTTGAGAGGCAGTGCTATGGAGTGGAAAGTGCCACAGCTGGGTAATCACATGGGTTGAATTCGTTTACAGACAGACACACATTAGGCATGTGACCTTGGATGAGCTGTTTATGTCTCTCAACCACATTTATAAAGTGGAGGCATGACTCCCTTTCTCAGAGATGTTAGGAGAATTAATGATAATATTGCACCTAGAAAATCTCCTGTGCACAGTAGGACTGCTATGACTTCACCAGGGATTAGGCCTCTAGAAGAGGCAACGCATCTCTGTTGGGACCTAATGCTGATTTCTAGACTTCACAGAGTGTGAAGGCATGCCTACCTGGAAAGGGTTAAATGGGAGACAGCCTCAGCATGGGAATGCTGTGGGGAGCTAATTGGGACAGCATCCCTGCAGTGGTTCACAGCCAGAGATGAGAAAGCCTCATTTTTTGAGAGCCAGGATATAAGAAGACTGTATCTTGCAAACCAGATTATCAAGTTTCAAATTACCCTCTGTGTTTATTGACCTGTGATTATTCCCTAAACTGGCCTGGTTATAGGAATCACCTCTGGTTACATCTTTTAAAATATAGATTTTTTTCAGATCTCCTGAAAATTCTGTTTCCAAAAGTCTGGTGTTGGGCCAGAAAACCCACTCTTTTAAGAAATGTCCCATAGTTTGACTCATAATTTAACTAGTTTAGGGAACAGTGCCCCAACCTGGTGGTTCTCAATCCTGGCTGCATATCAAGCCTCCTAGTGAGCTTTAACACAAATACACCTTTATCATAG